ATCCCCCCCCCCCCCCCATTGATGAGGTAAGTTGACTATACCCCTCCGTGTAATAAAAAAGATCAAAGGTATTGACACACTACCCACCCCCTCTCAGAAACAGCCCATTTTTTCTCATACCTCTCAGAAATATTCCAAAGATCAAAGATACCAAAACAGCCAACTCCCCTTCCCCCCTGCCCCGGCATCCCCCCAAAATAACTTTCATAAAGCCCTGCTCAGATAAATCTCATGCATAGGGGGTGGGGGTTGTGGATATTACTGGAATGGCCCTAATTCTAGCCTGTTCCTAGCCTCCCAAGCAGACGTTCTTACGGCCAAAAGAACGCCTGCGTGGGAGGTGGGCTACCCTAATTCGTGGCAACATTAAATAGACATAAGGAAAGAGATTGACTGGGAAATCGGCGAACAAAAAGCAAAAACAGAAGAGTTCAGACCAAAATTCAACTCTCTCACCTTTGAAAATAATCTGCGATTCTCGCACCCCACCCGCCCTCGGAAAAAGATTCCTGTAGGAAAAGTAATAGTTCACTGCCATTAAATACAACCTACGGTGTCTATTAAAACTAAAGCACCTGAAGACAGGTGATTAAGGATTATTCCAGGCTCTCTACCTGGTGTAAAAATTAACGCGGCATACAAAGAAAGTCAATTTTTTTCAGTCTGTTTTGTGCTTTAAAACCGATAAACTAACTTACTTGAGTAATTGAATCCCCAAATAGGACAATTTTCGGAAACAAGTTGATCGCCATTTTGTAACCGTAGGAACCAGGAAAGACTGGAACCTAATCTAAGTACGGTCAGGGGTGTCACGGGATTGGTCACGGGTGTCGTCACGGGTTGTCCACTGTCTTTTGGGAGCTTAAGCAACAATGACGAAGACGGCAGTGAAAACTTCGCTAAATAGTAATTCATCCTCACTGCATACCTATTACCACATCACGGTAAACTAAGTTATGGGAGGAGATCGCGACAGCTGTGGCAATTAAGGTATGCAGCGGGAGTTAAGCGTAGCCCAACCTCGTCCCCAGGGCTTTTCCCTTAAAAAAATCCAGGGCTTTTCCCTTTTCCCGCCCCACCCATTTTTGGGGGGAAAAGCCCTGAGGACGAGGTTGAGCGTAGCCGCGTCGACCGGCACCAGGGGGGGAGGGTGGGGCGACAGAAACTTCCTTCATCGGAACGCGGGCAAAATGACAACGATCGAGGCAAAACACGAGATTTTAAGCAGAGAGACAGCAAAGCATCATACCTGCCCCGAAGACGCAGAGCACGGAAGGATGTAGCTCAAATTCCGTGATGCGCCAATTATGTGTGCAGTGAGAATAGTGAATGTGCGTTCTTCAAACCAGGCGCGGATCTGGGGTAAACACTGACTGATTTCCTAAACGAGCGCCGAAGGCGCAATCTTCTTGTGCGCTACCTGGAAATTTTTTAGCTTTAAATTCCCGAAAGTCCCCTTTCCTGGGTTTCCGAGTCATTCAGACAGGATCTTGGCCACTTCCATTCACCTTGGATGAAGCCTTGCAACTTAGTTGTGATATGTTATGAAAAATCTGACCGATTTCCGTAAAACGGTGGAAACCAGTGCAAACTTTATCGCGCTCGCGTCTGTTTGGACCTACTCAATTTGTCAAATGTATGCGATTTTTGCTGGAGTTGAATTCTTAGGGAATTTACCAGGTTCAAAAAGGGAAAGGAAAATTCATCGTACAGTAGACGTCAAAGAAATGAACTAAAAGCGTGATGCACATACAGTGTTGTTTTACTCAGAAAACCAATTGTTTTTTAACGTCGACGAACCGGTGACTATCCTGGGCTGAGACCTCTTTTACATGTCCAAACTAAAGGTAGTCTTTTTCAAGAACATTCCCCCCCCCCCCCCCCCCCTCCCTTTTTTTATATCCCCCCCCCCCCCCCCCCCCCCCTTCAACAAAAAAAAAAAAAATTTTGGCTGTAAGTTTTTTTTTTCCCCCACAATTTTTTTTATTTTTATTTTTTTTTTTTTTTTTTCAGTTGGGGTAGAGGGGGATTGGTTTACTTGGTTATGTTACAAAAATAAATTGTTTTTTTACTTAACAAATTGGCAAAACACCCCAGCTACCATTTTTTTCCCCGTCCTTTGGTCCAGGAGGCCCCCTTGGGCCGGGAACAATTACCACCTTGGGTGGGTCAGGATTTTCCACAATAAATGAAAAAAATGTGGTCACAATTGG